GCTCTACGCAAATTTAGAGCTATGAGTTGACAGAGGTATACAGCTGGAAGATTTGCATTTGGAAAATTCCCAAAGTTTAAGGGAGAACAGGTTCTGTTAGCCAGGCTATAAAGAGTTTGTACATCTGATCCCAATAAACTAGATTTTATTTTTAAAAAGGCCTCAGACTCAGAAAGCATAAATAAGGATTCTAGAGATAAATTCAGGGAACTTATTTTGGCTTCGATGTAAGAAATCCAGCTGGAATTAACAGATTCAGAAAGTAGTTGGTATGTATAACTAAAGGGGTCAGAGTTGAAATGGAGTCGGAACCAACATTTAATAGTGAGGATCCATTCCTTAGTAGCCAACAAATTCTGACCACATTCCAAACATAATGCGGCATATGGAACACATGATCTTTTGCAGAAAGGTAGAGTGGACATGTTTGACTGAAATGTGCCAGTGCATCAATCCAGAGAGGTACTCCATATAATAATTGCGCTCCAGCTTTAGCATTGAAGGCTTTAAGTGCAGCTGGCACATACTGGTTACCTTGAACGGAAAAATAAAAGCGAGAAATTGCTGCAGCACTAACTTTAGCTAGATTAATAGCCATTCCGTGATAGGTCCAAGTAGCATTAGATTGGAAATAGGTGCCCAGATATTTGAAGTGCTTAACCAAAGTTTGTTGCCATTAATAATCCACATATGATTTTCAGGAATAGGGAACAACTAATACATTTGATTTTTCATAATTCAGCTCCAATCTGTTAATCACGCAATATTCATGGCAACGGTTCAGTAAGTGGTTTAGTCCAAGTAGACAAAAGAACCATGTCATCTGCATATAATAACTAAGGAATAAGAGTACAGCCAAGTCTAGGGCTATGGCCATCAACTAATAACAAAATAGGGGTGAGGTCATTTTTTTAAAAAGGTTAAACAAATGGAGGGCTAAAATGCACCCCTGCTTTAACCCTTTACTAATACAGATCTTGGGAGAAAGTCTCCCAGACGAAGAACACCTGACCTGACAGGATGTGGAGGTGTGAAGTCTTTTGATAAGAAATAATAACCTCCTATCCAAAGACATCCCCTCAAGCTTTACCCAGAGAAGTTCCCTTGAAACAGAATCAAAAGCCTCTTTAAGGTCCAAAAAGGCAATATACAGTTTAGACCTTTTCCTTCTTACGTACTTATTGATCAAATGAGCGAGGACCAAACAGTGGTCCAGAGCTGACTTCCCCTAGCAGAAACCCATCTGTTCTGGTCCTAAAATTTTACTAAGTAGCATCCATGTGCTGAGCTTAATTTGCAAAAATGTAGCATAAAGTTTCCCAATGACAGACAAAAGACTAATCCCCTGACAATACTATGAAAGTTCAGGGAGAACAGTTTTGTCAAATGGCATTGTGTCTTTTCTCAAGCTGAGATCCCTCAGCTTCTGTTCTTCCTACTCCAATTGAGCTTTATTTGATGATAGTCAAAAGACTTGCATTATTCCAGTGCTTGTTTTCTCCCAGAGAGCGCCAAAAGTATTGCACCAAACTCTATGACTAAGGAAATGCAACCAGTTCTGGGGTGAGTTAACCCAGGGGCTGATGCTTGGGAGTTGTTTTGAACAGTACTCTCTCTCCAAGTATTCTCATTACATGCAGTAACTAGCAGAGGCCTATTTCCTTGGGGAACTGAAGCTCTCTGGTTTATACTTAACATGCTGATTGCCAGAATTACAGGATGGCTGTGCCGGGAGGAGGGTAGAGAATTAGATTCTATCTCTAATTAGATGTTTGCTCTTCATTTGAATTTCAGATGCCAGCTTTAATTTTAGAAATTTTCCCAGGAAGCAAAGTGACTTTCTCCAGCAAAAGTGCACCTGGCTCCTTCAGGCTTTCTCTGATGGGCTGTCAGAAAATGCACAGAGGGGGGCGGCCACTGACTCTTCTTTTCTAGGCCCAATGGGCAGATCCATTACCTGTCAGTTCTCTGTAGGTATTTGCTCAAATAAAAGGAGCTCTCCCAAGAGGAGAAAGAGCTGTTAGAGAGGTAGGCAGGAGAGCCACACAGGCTTTTGGTTGCAATAGATCCTTTGGGCCTCACCTTGTCTCAGCTAACATATGAGCTGCCTCGTGTTGTGTGAAAAGAGCTATTGTTAACATTTTTAGCCCACTCGCTACCTGATTCTCCCCTTCTCCATTTTATCCTCACAATAACCATAATGGGCAGGGTTACAGACTTTTAAAAGGGATGCTACTGAAATTGATTTATTACATTTTCTCCCTCACCCTTCCTCCAAGGAGTTCTTCCCTCCATCTCCTCCTACTCCGCTCCCACTTGCCCCCAGACTTTCTTTTCCTTGCTGGGAGGCAGTCTCTGGGCTGCCCCCATGCCACTCACCCAGGCTACCCTTGCAGTGGTTCTCTTGCTTTGGTGCAGAGGTCCCCAACGGGCAGGGGCTCAGCACCGACTCTGGACACCTACCTTCATTTCCCCCTCATAACAATTATGTGAGGTAGGTTAGGCCATGACAGAGTGACTGATCCAAGCACTTCATGGCTGAATGGGGATTTGATCCTGGGTTTCTCCATTGCTACTACAACACTCTAACCACTATCCTGCACTGATCTGTCAGAGCAGTTGAACTGGGTTGTTCTGGACAGAAATAAATCCTTGACCAGATAAACCAGCCAAGGGAAAGAATACACAACTGCCATATATCATCATCATCATCTCTATATATCTAATAGCCAAGGGTCCCTCTGTGTGAGGATATTTATTTCCGCAGATCTGGGGCACATGGAGGGTAAAGAAGTTTTTCTGCACACTTGAGGTTGCAGAAAAATGCAAAAAGTTTTTAAAAAATACACAGGGGGGTTAAACCCACCCACCACAATTTTAAAAAGTCGGTGCTTGTGCAGTTCGGACTCGTGGTCCCCTGATCCAGACTTGGAGCTTTGTTCGGTGGCCATCCTCCCCACAGCCAGCAAGATGGCCCTGAAGCTGTGGGGCAGGGACCGCTGGGTCCTTCCCAGGTGAGCAGCCTCCCTGTGGCCAGCAAGATGGCCCTGGAGCCACGGGGCAGGGGATGCCACTGCTGCTGGGTTCTTCCCAGGCAGCTGGCCTCCCCACAGCCAACAAGACACCTCTGGAGCTGCAGGGCAGGGATACCACCACTGGATCCCTCCCAGGTGAGTGGCCTCCCCACTGCCAGAAAAACGATGAAGCCACAGAAAGGGAGGCAGAAGAGGGGGAGATTTTCAGGAGGGGAGAGAAATAGGGGAGAGAAAGAGAAGGGCAGACTGAGAATGTGTGGGGGAAAGAGGACATTGTCTGAAAAGAGCTGGGGTAAGAGAGGGGTGAGACATACAAGGGGTGAGAGGAGAAAGAGGGTGAGAAAGGAGTCCTAGAGAAGGGGGTAGGGAGGAAAGCTAACATAGAAGGGGTGAGAGGAGAAGGGGAGGAGAGGGAAGATTGACAAAGAAAGACAGGAGGGAACTTTGACAGAGAATGGGGGAGAAGGAAGCAAAGGTGGGGGAAATGCCCCCTCCCTGCAGGTTTCTTGCAGGTCTCCCCTTGTGTATTCTAACAGCCAACTGTGGCCCCACCTACAGATACTTAAATCTGTGGATTGTGGGCATGTAGAGAGAAGGGATGTTTTTTCTGCAAACTTGGGGGAAACCCCAATAGTGGAAATTTGTCTGCAGTTGTGCAGATAATGCTCTTCCACTGGCTTGACAATGTCTACCTACCTTATCATGTGTGGCAGATGTTGGTGGAAGGGAAGAAACTGCTGGAGTGCAGGTGCCTGCAGACAAGCAGGGGAGGGGGAGGGGTAGCCAAAAGCTCCCTGCTGCCATCATCATTTCCCTCAGAGCAGTGGAGAGGAATAAAAATGATTGGTCTGAAAGCTGGGACAAAGGGACCCCCCATTTGACAGAGCACTGGGTTGGAACGGGGAAGGACTAGGAGAAATGGCAAGGAGGCAGACAGGCAGAGATGGTGGTGATGCAAGCAGGATGTCATGTCATATCAGTCACTCCAGCAGAGGAAACAGCACTACAGGTGGCCGGCCGGCCGGCCAGTAAACAACTGGGCAATGCAATAGTGATGGAGGAGGACACAAAAAGTGAGGGAAAGCATCCAGGGGACAGGACAAACAAAAAGAAGGTGGTGCAGAGGGGATGAATTAGTTAGAAAGTTATGGCAATGTAGTTATCATTACAAGAGACCCAATACTGTAGGCAAGATGGTTATTTGCCTTTAATACAGTTTAAATAAAAATGTTTTAAACAGCCCAATTAAGTGCAATAAACCTACTAAAAGGTTCATGAAATACAGCAAACACACAAAAAAGTATGCCAATTTTGGCTCCCTCCTTCAGATCTAAAGACTGATAAAAGCAATTTGTTTACAGGTCTATTATCTGAACTGCCCCCTTGATAATATTTTTTTTGGCAAAGAAAAGGTTCCCCCCCTACAATTAACTGTTATATCCTCACCATCCTGTGGCAAGGCTAGGACATAAGATGCAGTGTGGTATAATGTTCAGAGTCTTGGATTAGGAGCAGGGAGACCCCAGGTTCAAATCCCTGCTTTGCCATGAAGTTAACTGGGTGTACTCATGCTATACACACTCGCTCAGCCTAATCTACCTCACAGGGTTGTTCTGGAGATAATAGGTGGGGAGGGTACCATATAAACCCCTGGGAGCTCCCAAGAGAAAGGGTGAGATCTCCTAATCACAAATGTTGCACATAATTTTTTTTGTTCCATTCTGGGAGAACGTATTTCATTATATGGGTGCACAGACAGATGAATAACCATTATCGCTCTGGTGTAAGTTAGGTTTACAAAGCCGTAATTAAAGCTATGTCGATCACTGAAGTGTAAGTTCAGTGCTTACGAGGATGAGCTTTCAACCAGTATGGCAAAGAAAACAGCCATTCTAACCTGTAGGAATTAACATGTAACCATTAACAGCACAGATCACAAGCAGCGGGCAGTTGGAAGGTACTTACATATTTTGTTTCAGCCTTGGAGTCATAGTATTCAATATCATTCTCCTGCCGGACAAAGGGGGAAAATGTTATAAGTAAACAGATCTCAACTGCAGACCTTGGAGAAAAAAGGTTTTAATATGTGATCACCCTAGCAGGATTACCAACTTTTGATGTTTTGAGGACAGAACCTAGTTGATTCCTGCAGATTGGGGGCAGAGTATATTTATTTATTTATTTACCAAGAGTTTAGAGTTTGCTTCTGAGGGCAGTGTTGGTAGACACACTAGCCTGTGCTGCTGCTTGCATTCTAGGGAAGAGTAGAGAAGCCAAGCATGGAAGTGAATATAGTAGCAGTCCCCACAGTTGGAGCTGCCATACCACCATGTTGCTCTGCAGTCTACTCCTTTTGCTTCTAAGCTCTTGCTACCCTGTCTTCCTTGGCTTAATTCAGCTTGTGGAAGTGCAGCTACAGAGCAACCTCACACATGCACCAACAAGGACCAAATCACAGATTACAAAGTCTTTGTGTGTGCCCCATGTGTCCACCCTGGTCCTGACAACTGATGTGCTCTGGGAACTGCATGCTTAGAACTTCATTACCCGTCATTTGTAGGCTACCTGGGAATTAAGTTCAGAGAATGAAACTGCCAGAGCATATCTTTCAAGAGGACCAAGGTGGACACATGGGGTACACAAGGACTTTACAATTAATGATTAGGTGCACATTCACAGTAGTGCAAATGACGGACTGCGGTTAAAGCTGGTGATCTGGCATAATTTATTAAACCCATTTATATCCTGCCCTTCCATCCAAAAATTGATCTTTGTAGTGGATTACAACAAGTTAAAAATTATGCAAAGCACAGAATTACAGTAAGAAACAAAACAGTCATCATCCTGTAAGGCAACCCATGGCAGAATGTCTACCAGACATCATTAAAACTATTCCATTAAGAACAAAAGGCCAAGTCATAGCAAATAAGCAATAACATACTCCCAAGTACCTCATAGAAATGACCCTCTTTAGCATATGCTTCTTCCCCATCTAAAATACAAATCTATGCTTGTTATGCTGGGGGAGAAGCAACAGGGAAGAAAAAACAACTGGCTAGGCAAACATTAAGTTCTCTCTTCTCACTTCTCTGGCACCACTTAGGAAAATAGAAGCAATGGCCAGGCTTTGGAGACACACAGTAAAGTTGGAACGTGTGGGTGCTACTTGTCATAAATGGTACCTGCATATACCCTGTGATTTGTCATCAGTAGAAAGTTACAAGAAATTCAATAATGGATGCAGAAATATGACTGTGGTCACACGGAACATTAGCCACGCTAGAGAGACGGAAGATAGGCGGATTTTCCGGGCGCGATCTCACTGCCACATCTGGGAAGTGTAGAGCTCCCGTGGCTCACCCGAGGCTTCCCGCCGAAGACACGGGGTAAAAAACTAGTACCTCCGAGGTACTAGTTTCCGGTAACCGTGGGGCAAGGACGGGCGTCTGATCGCGTTTCCGGTGGCATCCGGTGCCCGCCCATGTCCCCTTGCAAAAAGGGTTTTTTTCCCAAGTCTCCATGGATGCGCACAAGCACCCAACAGAGCATGCGCATACTTTGGTGTACAGAAAAAACCAAACCCGTTTGCCGCACCGTGTCATTCCTGCCCCCGACGTAGCCTCAGAAGCCGGGTATGACAGCCAGGAACAGGTGGACTTGGCACCTTTAACAGAAGAAACTGTAAGTCCTGAGGAGGATAGCACTCAGCAGGACCCACCTGAGGCTGATCAGGTACTGCCTGGTCCGAGTCAATCACCACCAGACTCTCCCCCACCTGTCAACAGGCTCCAAGACTGAAGGTGTCAAGAGCTGAATGATAGACAAAAGGCTGCACGTATGCATGGTCAATGCTCGCTCAGCCCTGAGTTTTGACAGCAGCCTGGACCTTGCTTCAAGGAGCTAATGAGTTAATGAGCCAGCACGCTATTTCAGCAGACCTTTTGCCTTGAGCAAATCGTGCTGGCAACATTGTTGGCAGGACCAAGCTCTCTGTGTGACCTTGCTTCAGCTCCGGTGAATACTTTGGTTTCGACTCGGCTGGTTTTCTGGACTCTCAGCATCTGTTTATCTGCTCCTGATTTATGGCTAACTGACCTCGGCGTTTCCTGGACTATGGCTTCAGCTCTGCACTCGGCTTGATTTATGGACTCTGACTTCTGGTATGTTTTGACTGTGGCTCTGTTCAACTGATTGGGACTTGTTTGAACCGCTTTTCTGACTAAACTATCGGCTGAACCTTGGACTGGCTTTCTGACCTGCTTTACTAACTGGTGCTCCCGGGTCCTGCCATGAAACACCGAGTCACTTCTTTGCCGCGCCGCGGGATTGTCCTGTAATCGGCACCTCCCCCTACCCACGGGACCTCCACGGAACCTCCACGGGATGTCTGATCGCGCAACCACGTGTTATTTTACCCCAGGGAAAACAGCCACGCCTCCCCCCGTGCGATATCCGGCCCGTGTGACCGGGGCCTATATAGGTTAAATTTTCCAATCTGTGCTACTCTATGGAAAGTCATATTAGAGGCTCCTAACAGTTTCCTTTTGACTTTGAAATCTCTGAATCTATAGGAATGAGAAATATATACTAATTACTTCAGGGACACAGTCTCCGTCCCGTACCCCGGGCGAAAGCCAGACTGGAATGGATCAAGGATGGAAGTGTCATCTAAAAAACTCTGTAACTGAGTCACCACCGCCCTCTCAATCAACTTGTCCAAATAGGGCAAGTTGGACACCGGACGATAGCTGGCTAATTCAGCCGGGTCCAGAGTTGGCTTTTTCAGAAGGGGGCGGACCAACGCTTCCTTGAGTGCCTCGGGGAACTGCCCCTCCAAAAGGGACTTGTTGACAATCTCCCTCAAGGCACCTCAAAACCCCTCATGGCCCGCTTTAATGAGCCAAGAGGGGCACGGATCAAGGCCGCAAGTGGTTGGGCT